TTGAACCTATATGGGATACGATATGCATAGTAAAGACTAACTTTATTTATTCATATTGGATTCAATTTCAAGGGTACAAAATAACATTCTGTGGTACATACACATTCTAAATCGAAACCAGATTCGTTATCAAATAATTATTTAAATCATGAAACGTTGGTTATTTAATCTTGCTTTTTAATAATTTCCTCGAAAACTTCATAATATTTGATAAATAAAGAATGAATAGAAAATACAGTAAATGCTCTGGGTGCAATAAAAACAAGTCCCTTAAATATGGGAACGTAGACTTATGTACTGGTTGTTATTCTGCACAATTTCTGTCTGTTAATAGCGGGAATTCGGATATCGATAATTTAATTAAAGCAACACAGAGAAATAATATTCAATTTAGGTTAGAATGGATCTCATTTGAAGATTTTGTGGATGTTCAGATAGTTGCAGAGGGCGGATTTAGTATAATATCCACTGCTAAATGGACAAAAGGAAGAGTGAAGAGTTATTCTGGAGAGAAACTTAATCGGACAGGTCCTATAACAATTGTATTAAAAGTCCTTAAAAATTCTCAAAATATAAACTCGGCATTTATAAAGGAGGTAAAGTAAAAAAAGTTTTATTTAATTCGTAAACTAATAGATTTTTAAAATACGTAATTCTTTTAAATAGTTGCAGAATATTACTGAAACTCAACCTAACTCATCTATGCGTAATCTTGTTCATCATTATGGAGTATCGCAACATCCAATAACAAAAAATTATATATTTGTTATGTCTTATATGAAAAAGGGAAGTTTGCATGAATATTTATCCGAGCATTTTAATGATATCAAATGGATAGACTGGGAAGAAAGTAAAAAACAATCAAAAGTAAATTTCTTAAGAAGTCTTGTTATTGGAATTAAATGGATTCATAAGAATAAGATCATACATCGCGACATACACAGTGGAAATATATTAATACATGAAAATAATGATTTGTTAATAGCTGATTTGGGATTTAGTCGACCCGCGAATGAGGATCCAGGATCAAGCGTATACGGAATTATACCATATATTGCGCCGGAGATATTTAATAAAAAACAATTTTCATTTAGTTCTGATATCTACAGCTTAGGCATGATTATGTGGGAATTAACAACAGGGAATCGTCCTTTTGATGATCGAAAGTATGATGTCCATCTTGCGTTGGATATATGTAGAGGGCAGCGTCCCAAAATTACAGAAGATACACCAGAGCAGTGGGCTAATTTGATGAAAAAATGTTGGCATCAAGATCCTTCACATAGGCCTTCAATTAACGAAATATATCAAATAATAAATTCTTCGGAATGGGAGTTAAATGAAGCATTCTACCATGCTGAAAAAAAACTACAAGAAATAAAATTCAGGGAATATGCAGAGAAACAAGGAATTATGCTTTCTTCACGTAAATCATTTAGTCAGATATTAGATCCTATCATAGAAACTACAAGTTATACATTAAATTTAGCAGAATCAACAATAGGTAATTATCAATTTTTTTTTATAAACAAAGTTAACTACCACTAACTTACGATGTTTTTTTATAAAAAATCATTTACAGATTCTTCTTTTTCTACCTTTTCTTTTGATATTATGAATGATACGTAAGTAAATATTTTACATTTGAAAAATTAAGCATTAAAGGCTGTATTTACTAATCTATTTATAAAAAGCTCCGATAGTTTAAGTTATAGTAAAAATTCGTCGACTTCATTAAAGCACGCTATCGATTTCTTATTAAATGATAAAACTAGTAAGTTTTAATCTTATATTTTGATAAATAGTAGTCACGGGACATTTCCCTTAATCAAGACTCAAAATGTTATTTTTATAATACAATTTATATTGTGTGTAACAACAACGGGAGGGAAATGTCCCTTAACTGATAGATATTTATTATTAAACTTACATAATATCACATGTAATAGACCAAATAAAACGTAGAAAATTGATTAATTATCAAGAAACAACTATATGCGAAGGTATTATACTTTACATTCAAATTAGTTTATTACCTAATAATTGATTATAATAATTTAACGCAATTTTGCTCTACGTTAATGTAAAAATGCTAGAACCAAAATCAATCAAAAGCAATGGTAATTACGTTACCAATTTCTTTAAGAATATGTTTAAAAAGTCACTCAATATTTAAACTTTTCGCATTACCAGATAAGCCAGCATCATATTTACCTAATCCCAGTAAATTTATGTTAAGCCGTAATGGGGAAGCTTTAATCGATTATCTATGCGGAGATTTCACAGTAACTGAATTAGATATAAGCAATACAAGTTTACACCGTAATATAGTTAGAGCGTTGATATGCAAGAATACCACCCTGACAAATTTGAATTTACAGAATAATAGTTTAGGAGAATCGGCAGGAGAAGCACTGGCCGAGGCACTATGCAACAATACCACCCTGATAAATTTGAATCTGGATCATAATAATCTAGGAGAATCGGCAGGAAAAGCACTGGCCGAGGCACTATGCAAGAATACCACCTTGACAGTATTAGATTTGAGTTTTAATAGTATAGGAGAATCGGTAGGAAAAGCACTGGCCGAGGCACTATGCAAGAATACCACCCTGACAAATTTGAATTTGCATAGCAATAAAATAGGAGAATCGGCAGGAAAAGCACTGGCCGAGGCACTATACAAGAATACCACCCTGACAGTATTAGATTTGGGTTTTAATAGTACAGGAGGATCGGCAGGAAAAGCACTGGCCGAGGCACTATGCAAGAATACCACCCTGACAAATTTAAATATAAGTGATAACAAAATAGGAGAATCAGCAGGAAAAGCACTGGCCGAGGCACTATGCAAGAATACCACCCTGACAAATTTAAATATAGGTGGAAATCAAATAGGAGAATCGGCAGGAAAAGCACTGGCCGAGGCACTATGCAAGAATATCACCCTAACAATTTGAATTTACGGGATAACGGTTTAGGAGAATCGGTGGTCGAGGCATTATGTAAGAATACTTTGACTGATATTGAAAAATGGACACTTTTAAAATTATTATATGGGTAATTATTTTAGAAGGCAACAAAAATGCTAGATATGATTTTTTCGGACCCAACTTTTAAACAATACATACACAGTATATAATATAAATTTTAGGATCACACCAGAAAATTTCCGATCCGCCTTCAAAAATAATTACCCATATGGGTTAAATAAAAAAAGAAAAATTTATCACACTATATATATTATATACATACTGTATATGACATTTTATAATCTTAAATTAAAGACTATTATGAATTTCTCTTTTCAGACATAAAAATTTTTTATTAAATTACCTTTTCAAAAAGTATACATTATAATAAAACGAGTACAGAGTTATCAATTGTTTAAACGAATTAAAATTCTTAACGATATATTACAGTAGAAATATAAACTTTTGTTATCACGTCATTTTATATATTATACACGATAGAAGTAAACATTTAAGCTGGATAAATATATGCATAGCAAACAACCGAAAGTAAAGTTAATAAAAATTTTTTTATAAAACTTGCTAATTTTGATTTCTGAGAATAACGGCAACACCACTAAGCATGATTTTTCCTCTTTTGTAAAATATGGATGATCTCTTACTACTGTAAAAGCAAGATCAACGTTTTTAAGTTGTTACTAAAATTTATTATTCTAAAATACTGTAATTGCAAGGTATAAGCGTATTAAATATAACCTTTCTTGATAAAGTTTATTGAGAAGAAAGTAGACTAGTTGATTCTACGTACATTAGTTCGCAGAAAAAAAAACCATCTACCGAAAAATTTATGATTTTTTTTTTGTCATTCTGATATTCAAACGATTGAATAAAAAAAAACGCAGTTTTAACTTAATACTGTGAATTAATTCTAAATATTACTGACTATAAATTTATTAGCACTTATCCTTTTAATATACAGTATGTCTCATATTTATTTGTAAAAAAATTGTCAGCGATCTGTACATATACAACTAACCAAAGTTAG